TACTCTAAATTTAGAATTATGATATCTTAGCTTCCAAATTTGAAATATATCAATATATATGGAGAATTGATATCTTTCTCAACTCGTTGAGCATTCTTCGTCGTCACCGCTACCATTATCACGACCAACCACCATCGTCGTGATCGACTACCCCAACTAACACTAATTAATAATTCATAGTTTTGAATTTCTTCATATAAAAAAATATTTAAAATTTCAAAACTCATTTCATTTTTCAATGTTTTGAATCTTATATCATACTCCCATACTTCCCAAATTCAACCTACCCAAAGAACATGCTTATCACTTGTTAACAATTACGTAGTATAATAAATTTATATTATTAAAACTAAGAAAAAATTATCTCAAATAATCCCACCTTTTGGTGCTCTTTCAAAAATAATCTCAATTTTCACTGTCACTAGAAATAATCCCACCTTTTTGGTGACAGTGAAAAGTGGAATTATTTTTTTAAAAAGCACAAAAAGGTGAGATTTTTTGAGAAAATTTTCATAAAATTAATTTTTTTCTTCACAATTTATGGTCAAAATTTGTAAAGTTTGACCAAGAAAAATTAAATGTAATGATCTTTTTTGAGAGGGTAGTATTAAAGGTATGTCTCACAAGATTTCTCTCTTGATCTCTTCTAAACACATTTTAGGGAGTGCTTTTCAGCATTCTCACATATTAAGTATTCACCCAACCTAGTAGCCGAAATTACTCAAATTCATGTCTCTACTTAACCTAAGTAAGCTTACCTTAACTAAGACTCAAAATAGTGCGACTCAATTAAACTTACACAGAGACTTAATTGACTTGTTATTGCACTTACAGAGACTAAAATATGTATTAACATAGATTTAATCACAACCGAGACTTCAAATAGATTTATTTGGTTGAGAGGTCAATGTGATTCCAATATCATGTACAAATTATACTTTTGGACAATGTTAGGAGTATCCCATTTATACACTAGGCTAACACAGACACACACAAACACAAAACATCTGTGCAGACATTATGTGTCTATATGTGTCATGGGTTCACTTGGTGTACAAATAGAGTACCCTATTTTGGTGTACCCTTAAGTTAATTCTATAATTCTCCCTTCTTCAAGCTCAAGTCCTTGTCAATCACATAACCATTCCAAAGCACCTCTAACAGGGAACAATGTAATCTTTTTAGATGGATGAATGCAAAAAGACTAAAGTATGTGAAAAACATTAAAACTATGAGAAATTTACCTAAATAGGACTAAAACATAATGACTTTTCCAATATAGGATCATATGTTTTTATTTCCCAATGTAGGACTTTTGGTCATTATCAAGTAGTCATTATTCAAATAAATGTTCATGATTACTGGACATTATTTCTCTCACTAGGTCATTATTAAGTCTTATTCCTGCATTTTAAGTTCTATTTCGAAAATAAAAAATAGATATCCTATTTTGTTATATTTTCAATGTTTTATTCATATTTTAGTCTTTTTCCCGTTTATATACTAAGTTCCATAAAATGAGTTTGGATCATAGAATCACAAAAGAATTTGTAATTTGAAAAATTTTCTCTAGGTAGCACCAAAACTTAACATCTTTTTCCAAATAGTACCGAATAATTTTTTTCCCAAAAATAACATTAAATTAATTAATTGTTAATAAAATCAATTTACTAAAATACTCTTACATCTTAATTATTTTGTGCTTCGGATAAAATATAGACTATTCTTTTCTCGTTTTGATCGATTCTCTCTCTCTCTTTCTCTCTCTTTGATTCGTTTACTTACATTTTCTTTTTGATGGGACACTGTAAAAATTACAAACATTATTCAATATTTTGGGACATTGTAAAAATTATGGAAATATGGCATTATAAAATTATTGACATTATTTATTGATGATTTAGGATATTGTTAAATTATGGACACGAGACATTGTAAATATTATGGACACTGTTTACTTATCGGAGATATTGATGGCAAATGCAGTGGACATTTATAATTCTGACAATGTCTTTTTTTAACCAAAATTATCTTCACAATAGACAATAGACATATACACATTAACAACGATATTAGACATATTTTACAGTAACAGAACGGCGGCCATATACAGAACGATATTAGACATTAACAGAACGATATTAGACATATTTTGAAACCGTGGAAGTCATTAAGGCCATATTTAAAACGATTTCTGCTTTGATATGTAATGCCCAAGTAATAAGAATAAGTTAAAGAAAACACTACGTAAATGATGCATACTTTACAGTAACAGAACGGCGGCGGGACACTAACATTGACATTTTGTTATCAGCGGCGGGCGGAATACGGTAAGACATGATGGGACACCAAATATAAGTTTATATAAATGGCATTTTAGTATACTAGAATTAACAACTAATTATTAATTAATTAATTAATTAGATAATAGTTATGGAAATTAAACACGCGACGTGGTACTATATAGAGATTATGTTTTGATATTATTTAAGTAAATTTCCTTTTTTATTTTTAGTACTTCTCCATTTTCTTTTTGTATTAAGGCCTTCAATGAAATTTAGTCCAGCAACTCAAGGACCACTTCTTGATTTATAAAATTTTGCAATTTGGCGTGCAATTATACGCGATGAACGAAGTCATGCTACCCTCTAGGATGTTTTGATCAAAGAAATTTGAAGGCACAACAATACTTTTGATTGTAGCATTTATTTTCATTTTTTTCAAAATTTTAATTTATTTTGGTGTATTTTGCTTTATATTCTGATGTTTTTAATAAAGAGTGTCAATCTTAGCATTTTTATTATAGTTATATGCATTTAATATTTTAATAAAAATATGGAATTAAAAATGGTGAATAATGTAAAAAATAGATAGGCAAGTTTTTGAGGGCAATAACATTATAGAATTTTGGAGCGAGGTTCAAAATTAATGGAATGCTAATGTGATAGGAGTTGGGGTAGGGCAAGATTCCCTCCCATTGCAAGTGTTCTTAAGAACCTCAAAAAAGAAAAAAAAAGAATATGGTGTAAAGAATTAAAAAAATCATACTCCCTCCATTCCTAAATATTTGCAACATTTGTTTTTTCAGCAATCACGAGAACTTTTGTTTATTTTTACGTTTTCATTGATTATTTGATAAAATAAAATATTTTTAAATACCTCTTATTTCGAAGAATTTTCATGTAGTTTTTTGATATGCAAATTTTATTTTTTGTTTTTATATCAATATGTAAATAAAATGAATTGAAAAAGCTTGATGTTTCATCTCGGTAATATAAATATGATAAATATTTAAGGATGAAGGGAGTACGTACTACATAGTATTTTAGGTCTAATCGGTGTCTTAAATTTTAAGAGTAATGCTAGAAATTTATTAGCTTTGACAAAAAGACTTTGACACCAAATACTGCATAAACATATAAAAATTATTAGTTTGTGACGCACAAGTAATAATTATATGCATACGATTGTGAAATATTTATTGTCAATTGTCAAACTTAGTAGGTTTCTTGCTTTTTTGAACTTTTAATTATCCATTGTACTCTCTATATATTACTATCCAGATCGTTTTCAAAAATTATGAGAGTAAATTATTTTGAACTCTTAATTATCCATAGTACTCTCTATATTACTATCCAGATCTTTCTCAAACTTAACTCATGCATATTCAAAAATTATATAAAAAAAATCGTACAAATATTAGTAACAGCGAAATGTACGATCAAAAGAAACATATAAATAAAAAAGAGAAATTTACCTAAATAGGACTAAAACATAATGACTTTTCCAATATAGGATCATACGTAGTATGTTTTTATTTCCCAATATAGGACTTTTGGTCATTAAAATGTAGTCATTATTTAACTAAATATTCATCATTACTAGACATTATTCTTCCCACTAGGTCATTATTAAGTCTCATTTAGGGAATAAAAAAATCTAACTCCTACATTAAGAAAGTCATTATGTTTTAGTCATATTTATTGCAAATTTCACAACATAATAGTAACAGGAAAATGTATTTAGATACAAGTATTAGCTTTTAAACTTTTATACTTCACATTTTGACTTTTACGGCCAATGTTTTTAAACATTGACCACACATTTAAAAAAATAAATTAAATTGTGATATAAATTTAATATCAATAAATTAATTTTGAAACATAATTTGGAAACATCATATTTTCATAGTCGATAATTATATATAGATTAATGATTAAGGTGTTGCATTGAAGTGTGAAAAGTCAAATGTGAAAAAAGGCATGATTAAGGTTTTAATCACACATTGATGACAAAGAACAAAACACGCACCTGATACTTGCAGATGTCATACGCTTACTGTAGTTAATTAGTTGCCTTACATTGTAGTCGTTCAGAATCAGAATCAGATATTACTTCCAAGAGAACACTTCTCGTCTTGTTAACTGCGGAATATCCAATAGTAAGAGACAGGGCAGTCTCGAAAAATGAAAAAAAATGAAATTGACCAGTCTGAAATTTACATTTTGGACCCTATTTTATTATTTTGGGATAATTATGTTTCAAAATTAATAATGAATTTAAAAATATAAGATTCTAAAATTTTAAGAATCTTATGTGATTGACCACTTTACACACCCTCCGGGCCACCCATGGTAAGAGACAAGCTTAGGACAAACTTGTGCAATTTAGGATGGGGTGTATAGAAAATGGGAGTAAATGCACTCTAACTTTCATAGCCTTTTCATTCGGTCTTTAAATCTGTTTTTCCAAGTCATTTGACCAAGGAGTAATAGTGTAGTGTACTCCCACTATACAACTTCTTTTTCAATTCCTGTATTTTTTTTTTCTCAAAATCTTTTTATTTTCTTGCAAATATCAGAATTGAATTAAAATTAAATTAAATGAAATATAGAGACAGAGCTACTAACATTCACCTGCCTTCATCCGTGAATCTGACTTACGGAATACCAAAGCCTAATGGCGTTATACATAAGCCTCTCAGAGTATATATAATGGCAGTGCTTGTCCCCAACTACTCCGATCCCTTTTTTTAGCTTCCTTCTTCCCCCACTCCCTCATCTTCTCAGTAATGCCATTTTCATGGCGGTGGAGAAAAACTAACTCTGGGTAATCTTTGAAGAAGACGAAGACGAAGAAGAAATTGGATTTCTGTTTTTTGGCCGTAGATGGAGAGATTCCGGTGCAAGCTCTGTTTCAAGCAGTTTGTGAACGGGAAGGCTCTGGGTGGGCACATGAGATCCCATTTGGCCGTTCTCCCGCTCCCTCCCAAGACGCCGGATTCCGTCGACGGAGGCGCCGGCCTGAGCGATTCGACCCTGTCTCTGTGCTGCTCGTCGGAGGAGGAGAAGGACGGTGGAGGAGGCGGTGGGAGTGTTGGGTTGGGGGAGAATCCGAGGAAGAGGTTCCGGCGGGCGGATCCCGAGATTTTTGAGGGCGAGAGCGTGGGCGAGTCGACTCGGAGTCTGACTCGGAGGAGATCCAAGCGTGCCCGGAGAATGTTTGGGGACGGGGGGAAGGGGAAGGGGAAGGCTGAGGAGTCGCGGCGGCCGGAGGCGGGGACGTGCTCGTTCTCCGACGAGGAGGAGGTGGCCAGGTGTCTCATGATGATGTCGAGGGATTTCCGGGGATCGCCGGAGACGGAGCGCCGCCGTCAGGGGAAGTTGCGGTGCGAGATTGGCGGCCGGGATTTCAAGTCCACGCAGGCGCTGGGCAGTCACAGGACGACCCACGGCGGCAGGGGGGAACTCGACGGGAACCCGAGGAATCCGGCGGTCAAAGCGGACGACGAGAAAATGCATGAATGCCCGTTTTGCGAGAGGGTATTCGGGTCGGGTCAAGCTCTGGGCGGGCACAAGAGATCACACTTCTTCCCACCCCCAACAAACAAAGCCGCCGCCGCCGCCGCCTCCGGAGCGGCAGGTTCAGTCTCGGTTTCAGGTTCGGATTCAGGCACGGTGTTGGGTTCGGGATCTTGTTCTTCAAAGATCATGATTGATCTCAACATGCCTGCTCCAATGGAGGATGATGACGTCTCTGCAGTCAGTTTCAGATGAACTCCTGAGGGTAAATTAGTAAAACCACCACCCACCTTTTGGAATTCTAATTTTTTATCTTTAATCTTAAGTTAAAGTTTGGTCCTTTAATTTTAATTTTTGCAGTCATATGAAAATGGATTGTTCCATCAATAGACATGAGAAATTTAAAGTATTCAAAAGTTCAATTCCATTATTTACCCTTTTTTTCTATATAAAAGGTAAGAAAATTCTACATTTGACACAATTTTTAACACTAATTTATCACACATAGAGGTCATAATTATCTTTGTAAAAATTATCTATTTATATATATATATATATATATATATATATATATATGAAATATTATAGTCAAAAATAGTGTAAATGTGAAATTTCATAAGGTGTTTTTTTTCTTTCTGTTTGTGGTAGTTGTAAGTTGTTAATACACACTTTTCTTCATGTTTTCACTATCTGAACAGTAACAATTCAGTTGCAAAAAAAAGAACAAGAGTGGTACATTTTTCGAGTAAATACTATACAGTCAATCCATTTGAGCAAGTCTTCATCCACTTTATATTCGGTCAAACCCAATTAAAGGTTTTTGGTATAAATGAATTTTTCAAAAAAAAATGTTAGGATGAAATTAAGATTCACTTAATCACTGTTTAGACATTAACCCCATGATAAGGCGGTATTTATTGGTGATGGAAAGCTTAATATGGAAGGGATGGAGAAATTATTCCCAAATAGGTTAACTCTTTAATTTGCATCATTAAAATTCACAGCATGGGATGATTAAAGTGAGGTTTTTTTGGTGAGATTTCAAAGTTGATGCTAATTTCATCCAAATATGATAATACAATCAACTTGGGTAGCTTGCCTTCTTTAGTTCACACTAACCTCTTTGCTTTTAAAATTTTGCATCCAATAGAGTATAGGCATTTGAGTGGCATTACCTAAGCTTTTCCAAAATAGCCCTTGTGTTATTTCAAGTTGACACTATTATGCTTTTTGTTACACCAAGGGCATCTACATTTTAGAAAAATGAAATTATGGATTCATACACTTGCACACAAACAACCTAGTATGTAGGTGTTTTTTTCTGTATTTATAAATTTATCAAAATTGTTTATAAGTAATTTTAAACTTATAAATCAGTAGATGACATATTTTTCTGTGCTTATAAGCTGTTTATACTTAGAAAATATAAGTAGGTTCTACATACTCATTTTTAAGCTAGTTTTTTCATTTCTTTGTTTTTGACTAGATTATTTACAAAACTATTTCTCATCGCTTTCAAATATTTCCAAATGACTTATCTATCATTTAAGTTACTCGTATTTTACTTCCACGAAAGTATATTTGACTTATAAGCAACTTATAAGTTAAAAACTACTTAACAAAAACAGGCTGATAAGCACCAGCACAGAGAAACATCCTTATACATAATAATATTATGAACCTACTATGTATCATTTAAACGATTGTGTTAGAAATAGTGACATCGTTTTGATCTCAAAATTACAGTGTCACACACAAGTACAGGTTGTGCACACAGACCTTTACTCTCTATGTGTGTCTTTGTAATGTCTAGGGTCAAAATGGTCAACATTTTGTTATTCTCTTAGCATTTTTGTTATTTAAACACCATTGAGGTCGGAGGGATTGAAATGTATACATCCTTATCCTTCTACTATCTTCGTCCCATAAAAAAGTTTCACATATTCTTCTACTTCTTTAGTCTCAATAAAGGATTCACATTTCTTTTTTCATTTGTCCAAAAAAGGGTTTCAATTTTCAATTTTAAAAAAAATTTGTGGTCTTTATAGTTTTTCTCTCCCACATCACTTTTAGTCATACAATTTTACTTTTCTTTATTTCGGTGCTAATTAAGTAAAAGGTTAAACCTTTTTAGAAATGTTGTTTCTCTTATACCTTTGATGCATAGTAAAAATCATGAAGAGTTTATTATACCTTTATGTCTTTATAGTATGCTCAAAATTTTATTTTGACCTTCTTTTAGTGTCATGTATCATGTGCTCAAAAGATCACACTATGCAAATACTCCCTCCGTCCCACTGTCTTTGTCCACTTACCTTTTGGCACACCATCCAATGCACTTCTTTAATCCATTTTGTCTTGTAATTTGTATATTAAAAAATTATAAAAATTATATATTAATAATCTATATGTTAAGACGAATCAAACAAGATCACACATGACTATTTTTAGGCTTACACATTTAGAGAATTTGATGAGTTAAAGTGCTTAGATGAACAGTTTCAAAAGTCAAAACTGGACAAAGACAATGGGACGGAGGTAGTATCTCTTTAAATCCTCTTAATTAATGTAAACTCGTGATCGATTCGAAATGATTTCGGATTTGAGTCCAATTTAGTATCCAGTATAAATTTGATTAATTATAGAACAGACGATCGATTTGAGTTTGAATTTCTGATTGAAGACTCATAAAATATTTTATTTTATTTTATTTTTTGCAAGGAAAATGTTTTATTTATAGTGTAACATTTGGGTGATAAACAATGTTCTCTGCTGGTATAGTACTACAGCATATATGGAGGCACTATGTGTGTGTTGTCAGGTAAGAATCATACGGCGTATTAATTCCATTTCTCCAGCTGTCTTATTAGGCCACACGTTTATACCAATATTAATTTACGGAGTAACAATTACTCCTATTAAAAAAAGAATATATTTCTTTCCTTTTTTTCATTTGTTTAAAAAATTCTATTTCACTAATTAGTACGGAGTAATAATTACTTATTTATCCCAATCAATTACTCTCTATTAAGTATTTAACATAGGGAGAAAAACCAAAGTAGGACTAAAACATTGAAAATATACTAAAATAGGACTTCCATGTTTTTATTCCCGAAATAGGATTTACATTACCAAACATGGTCATATACATTACCAAAAACGTATGGTAATGTGCACATGTACTGTCACATTACCACAATGCAAAGTCACATTATCACAGTGCAAAGTCCTATTTCGGGAAAAAAAACATGAAAGTCCTATTTTGATACTTTTCTCTATGTTTTAGTATTATTTAGAATGATTTCTATTTAACATATGTATCCCATCATTATACTCATTTATATTCTTTTTTGATTTGTTGATCACAATATCACATACAGTATTATTTATATTTTTAAAAGTAAGAATAAAATAGGAAAACACGGAGTGAAACTCAAATTGGACCTACTTCAAATATTAATTGTCTCCCAAACTGAAAAGTTTTTTGTGGAATGAGGACAAAATAGGAAAGCAATGTGAGTGTTTGTGGTTAGTATAAGGGCCTCTTTGGTAAGTTTCACAGATATGATAGGATATGGATTTTGAAATTTAGAAAAATTAATATGAATTTCAAAATTTGAAATAGAGTTTGATGGTGTAAATATATCTGGGTTTGACCTAAGCAAACGAACTCTACTAGGTATGGAAAACACAACAAAGTAAGAACACAACAAAAGTGACCTAAACAAAGAAAGAATTTCTGTGCCCGAACTTATATATCTTGCTTTGTCTCAAGAGTATACATGTGATTGTGAGAATCATTGAATGTTCCTCCTCCTCCTACAATCTATTTATATAGAGTAGATATAGAGTAGAGGAAATTAATTAAGTTAACAAGCCCCAACTCAGGTGTGGGCCTAGCGCCAATCAGGACTTGTATAAGAAAAGAACTCTCTGGCTCGCTGGTCATTAAGGGCAACCGCATCAGTCGATAAACTAAAGGGAAGAGTATTCTTCCTTCTCTCTCCCATGTCATCTTTTTTGGCGCCCAATACCCAAATTCTCTTTATTTTTCCTCATTTCTTACATCAAAAGAACAACTAAAATTTTATTATTTCTTAATACAAAATAAAACTCAACCCATTTATATAACTAAAAATTTGATTGCCACATGGCTTAGCTTGGAATGAATAGCCAGTCTTTTTCTCTTTCTCTTCCTCTCCGCGGAGGACCCCCCCCCCCCCNTACTTCTCCTTCCAATGAGCCAACTTCTCCACGAGAGATACTTCTCCTTCACCATTCCCCTCCATCGATCCAGTGTGGATGGCCTAACCTACTTATTAATGAGCGCTAATCCTGCCAACAATCAAGTCATCCAATGGTGGATCGGGATCCTCGCTCTGCAATTAAGTCACGGAGATGGCGGGGTAAGATAGCGAGATTGCACCGGGCTGTGTTCATCAACCTAACTCTCTTTATGTGACCGTGCTTAATAGAGGAGTTATATTCTGGATCATCTCCTGTAATGGCCATGCAGAAATATGACCGGTGACTTTTTGGAAAAGGTTTGATCAGTCATTTTCCCTGACTTTAAGTGTCTTCTCAAACACCATCTATTTTTATATCCATCAGAAATTATTTGGAAGATTTAAAATCATGAATTGATTAGTGATTGTCAGTGATGGCTGATAACAGGGATGATTGACGATGATAATTAGTGGTGGGGTGTGGGGGCTCTCGGGTGGGCGTTCAACCTTATGTTAGAAAGGTAGGAAGTATTAATTAGAGACATATGGTCAATGAACACAAACTAATAGAAAAATTCTACTCCGTATGTTATTATCTTCATTTAACACTCCGCATTTCATTGGCCAGCGTTATATGTTACTCTATTAGCCACATCTCCACAGATATTATGACACTTCATCTGTCCGAAAATGTTCTTTCTGTTTGATTTTTCACGGCCTCTAACATTAAACTCGGACTATTAATATTTATATTTATACATAGATATATTTCATAAGAATTTATATTTGAAAACAATATTTCAATAGAAATATATTGAAATTAAATTTATATCATAATACAATGTATTTTTTCATGTAGCAAAATCAACTTTTTCAATCTTTGACTAAGAAAAATGTAACATTCTCGTATTTTGCAGTAAGAATATTCTTATTTGTGAACCAATCCACACACACACATATATATATAATCAAAAGAAAGAAATGGGGAGTTGCTCTAGCTTTTTTTGTTTTTTGTTTTTTTGAGTATTATTGAATTTTCTCTCTCATTATTGGTTTTTATGGATTTGTCTACTTGACGTTCAGCAGCAGCAGTTGGAACTTCTCTTCTCATACCTTTTATTTATGATTATTTGTACTCCATATATGACACTCATCCACTTCTCACTAACCCGAATCTTGTGTTCACTTACCAAATTGCCCTTGCTTTTTTTTCCTCCTTTTGTATAGCATTTTCTCCTTCCTTTCCCTTCCCTTTCAATGATTTTTAGTAATGTGTAAAGTTTCTGATAGAATTTAGGATGAGATATGAATAACTGGATTGGATAATAAGACACTTGGGCTGAACCGCATTAAAAGATTGAATTCAATCTATTAGTTAGTCCAACTCAAGAGCTTATATACCGGTTATTTTACTCTTGAACTTCCGATGTGGGATGCACTCTAACACTCCCCCTCAAGTGGACAACCGGGCCATTTTGAATCTAACCGGTTGACCACTTGCAAATGAACTCCCATTCCATTGACTTTTTTTTTGAGCGCCAACACCTAAAGGACCACGAGCCGCTGGGTATGGACTTCCAGACGAGCAATCGTGTTAAACAGGCCACAGGCCGTTGGGTACACACTTCATACGGACAACTGGGCTAAAGACAAACGGGCCGCTAGGAATGAACATCTAGACGGACACCTTGACAAACGAGGTGGGCTAAAACTGGCTCAGATACCATGAAAGAATTGTTTGGGAGAAAATTCTCTGTATTTCTGTGTGTTGCAATTTACAACCGAGGCACGAATATATAGATTCTCACAAGCCGAGAATTCTAACCAAACAAGGAAAGGAAATCAAGGAAATCCCTATACAAGTAAACTACTAATACAAGGAAACTACTATATACGAAAATATATACTAAATATATTCTTTCCTTTTACAGTTTCATTTCTTTGAAAATAAATGATAATATGTACTCCCTCCGTTCTCAAAAACACTTCCTCTTTCATTTTTTCCACTTCCAACAAAACACTTCCTCTTTCTATTAAAAAACCACTTTTACCCTTACTTTTTCATACCCTACCTATCACATCATATTTTTTCTCTAATAATCTATCCATCACATCTTACTTTTACCCATCACATCAGGGACAAAATTGGAAATCAACTACTCCGTATAATTTAACACTTCCTTATTTTTGCCCTAAATCAAAATAAGAAGTCTTTTTGCAAACGGAGAGAGTATATTTTATTTTATTAAATGATCAATGAAAATGCATACACAAATAAAAATTATCAATAACATAAAATAGTAAAGAAGTTAATTAATTCAGGAATAGAGAAAGTATATATTAAAGATATCATGTACCCCGGAGTATTGATAAAGGTACATATATGTTTTTAAGTCTAGGCAAACTAGACACGTTCTTATAGCTCAGAATTTTTAAAAATAAAGTATTTCTCTCGGTTTCGTGAAACTTTCAACTTTCACATCTACATATCTCATAAAACATTTTAATTTGGCATTAATGGACACAATTCCCCTTATTTTTTTAAATCTAATCGAACTTATCTCAACTATGTTTACGCCCAACCTATTTGATATTTTCCGTACTTGTTTTAAGTATCGTTGTTTCACCTTGGTCAAACTTTTACAGCTTACTCTTTCGAAAGTCAAAACAAGAAATATTTTGTGAGACAGAAGAAGTAATTAATTTTAAGCATATACTATTGATAAATATGGGCCAAAGGTTCAAAAATCAAAAGCTCAACACCGTTTAGGTTTCAATTTTTTGTGCTGATCAAATATTATATACTCCGTATTATCCATCTTATTCTCCGTTACAAAAATGGCGAAAAAATATTTGCCTAAGAGAAGAAAATAAAAGGGGGAATTAGTTTCATAGTAGCTACCTCCATTCCTATTTAAGTGCATGTATAATTCGCTTTTCGAAACTAAAGATTGATCAATATTCAATAATATTCGTATCTTTTAAAATATATTAGTAAAAAACATTAAAAATAATACATTCAAAGTATTTTTTCGATATCAATAATTTGGTATAAATTTTATATTTTAATTCATTGTATATATTTAGTATATATAATATGAGCTTATCTAAAATATTTTAAAGGAACTCATTAGTCTATTTTATTTTAGATTTTAACTCATTCAATACGTATCATTCTCCATATTCCACAACCTGCCATGCAAATATTCATAGTAAAATTAAATTCATTAATCACACTCGAGACCTTAAGATTCTAGGACCTTCTAAGTTTTCAGGGGGCTACTCGATTAGGAGCAGGGAAGAGGTTAGGAGATAGAACCATTAATTTTTTAAATGAAGTACCATAGGTAGGACATTGGTGTTATAATATGACAACAATACTTATTGCCAAAAGAAGTCCGTCGTATACATGGCCCCCTACTTTTTTTACCACAAGCATTATACTAAATATAAAATATATACAATGAATTAAAATATAAAATTGATGATTTTCGTTCGAAAAATTGATGATTTTTACCCATAACCATCCCTAAATCTCCTGTCTCCCTATCTCCCAGTAGTCCCCTGCCCCCCCCCAAACACTGATTGGCTACAGGGGGTTGCTGGCATGGCCGGTCCTGAAAAATAAAAAAATAAAATTGGCCCGGTCCAAAATTTACATTTTGTGCCCTATTTTATATTTTTAGAATACTTTTGCTTTAAAATTATTAACAAATTTAAAAATATAGTGCCCTAAGTTTTAAAGTGCCCTGTGCGGTTGACCACTTTGCACACCCTCCGGGCCTCTCATGGTTGCTGGGGTGAGGGGCGGGGGAGGGGGGGATTTAAAGAGAGTAGAAGGTACAAACCATCAATTTTTTGATAGGAACACGGTAGGATATTGCTGTCATATTGTGCTTGTTGTCAAAGGAAGCCCGCCGCTATAAATATGACCTCAATTTTGATCTCGTATATTCTTAATACTACTTTTTGGTTAAGGGAAAGCTATTTATTTTCTTAGGCTCTTTTTGTTTGAGTTAAAATTTCAATGTTGGATGTTGAAGAAAACTGGAAGGAGTTAAAAAACATTGGAAGATTTAAATACGTAAGAAAACTCCAATTTTGGATAAAAACAGAATTCATCATTGTCCATATCTGAGATGATTTATTATAAATTTAGATATATAATGTTATTGTAGATTAATCATATATAAACACTATTTTTAAGTTGTTGGAAGAAAACTAAAAAAACTGGAAGAAAATGAAAAAAATTAAATAAAAAAATCCTAATCAAAAGAATATGGTCTTATCCTTTAATATAATATTTGAGAGTTGATAGCTTAGAATTTTGATACATGGCAAATTTAGACTCCTAATATGATGACACGTACGATGACACGCGTCAAAGTGAGAGGAAACTAATTTAGATTCAGTACCCGTTCTTTCTCGCCCGCAAGTTCTTCGCACGGAAGGAAAGAAATCCTCGCTGATTCCTCGCTGCAAATCTTCACGCTGAAAGGAAACGAATTGCCATTCCCTAATTCCTCGCTGCGTTGGATTACGGAAGGAAAGAAATCCCGGGTACTGCCATACGCCTTTCCATTCTTCTTCGTCGCCTACCCCAATTTTTCCCTAATTTTAACCGGAAATTAGGGTTTACCGATAGAAAGTTGAAATTTATGTCGTCTCTTCTCCGCCGAAGGAAAGTCTCGAAATTCCGGCGATAAGCTCTCTCGATTAGGTTTCTCTTCCTCGGAGCTAAATAACATGTCGGAGCTTGACTTTGTCTTCTAGGGTTTTATTAAACAAATCTGCTCTCATCTTCAATCTGTAATCTCAGCCGATGTTCATTACTCGCCAAAGACGGGTAAGCCGCTTCAATATCTCTTTTTTATTACTACGTTCAGATTAATTGTCAGAGGGTTGTTGTCCGTCTTTGGTGATCTCTCTTGAATTGTTTGCTGGAAATTATGGATGGACCTAGCGTTTTGAGTGTAGTCACGGTGGCAACAATTGGATTTCGCAGGGATGGAGATGGTGACAGCCCGGTAGGTTGGTTATTTACACCATTTCAATTCCAGTTTCAATTTAGTCTTTCATCCAAAATGATATTTGAGACTGTTTTGATCTTTCTTCTGTCTAAAAAGGCATGGATTAAAATCTTGGCGCGGCTCCTTGAGAGAATGATAAAGTTGGAGAGCAAACTTAAGGTTCTATATATTTCTCTCTCATTTTTATTCGTAAATTTATCTAGCACTACAAAATGAATTGAGTGAATGTTGGTTTCAATTGGGTAATAGATTCCAATCTGTTGCTATGTTGAACTCTTGATTGATATAAGGAGTATGATGTTTGTTTACAATGTTTTATTAGAGCAAATGACAATTGAAATCTATTTGAGGCTCCTTATTTAGAAACGAGATTATGAGTTTTATGACCTACTTAGTATTCATGAGAATGTTTTTGGCTTCAAATGGAAAGGATTTTCCGATATTTTTAGCACGGATATTTACAAGACACGAAAGTGAATCGAGGATGTCAAAGAGAAGGTTACTAATTACAATAAGATTGCATATAGGCAGAGTTACACTACAATTAAGGTTTTGGAATAATCATTTTCAGAGCTGTTAAAGACAGGATGTCAAGCATTCTTAACTTGATTTTTATTTTTTTTCCTCTGGGGATAGTGGGATACACCCTTTGCGAAGTCAAACCAGGTGAGGGCTGCTTTCCTAGCCATGAAAGCAATGTGAAATTCAGATAATTAGCTTATTATGTGTCTTTCTTTCTAGAAGTTTTTATTATATTTACAAGGTTTGTGTTTGGTGTTTGTTTGTACTTTCATTCACTGACGTATGACTACACCCTTTTATTAATAGAGATGAGCATAATGGGTCTAAAAATTAATGCAGTTTCCCAGTGGGGAATGTGCTCAGCAATTTTCCTCTATTAAGGGGTAGTGGAAGACCTAAGGAGAAGCAGACTGAGATGATACATCTCACTAAGGACATGACTGAAGATATGAACTATTGTAGACCAACTATTAGAGTTATAGGGTAGACTTTGTTTGAACTGCTTAGCTAGGCATTTAGGTCTTCCCAAGGTTGTGTTGGTGTCCCTGATGTGGCCTTCAGGGAAATTAACCTAGAACAGGTTTAAGTCCATGTTTACTTCACAAAAACATACAGGTTTAAGAAAATAAAATAATCATTTTGAACTCATTTGCACTGTCTGTTTAAATCCTCTGCCGTTGCAATTTATGTTTTTTTGAGCACCTTTAATAGGCTGGACTCAATTATACTATAACCCCTTTGAGATCAATAAATCAGGAGGCTATAGGCTGGAGCTTATTTAAGTGCAACTTGGACACAATTTAGTTACAAACTTAATGATCAACTTCAGAGCTTGCTTATTTACGTTTAAGTACATTCATGGAAATTAAATGTTCATTTTGATCTCATATATACTGTTTGTTTAATTCCTCTGTCGTTTAGGTGTGCATCAGTTTATCTTTTTTGACTACTGCACTTTATGTTTGTTGAGCAAAAATGTTCAAAAAAATTTGTAAACGAAATTTGCTGCAGTTTATGAACGAGAGCAATGTTATATTCAGCACTGTCTATGTGTTTGTTGAGCACTGTCAATATGAATATTTTATATTTGTCTACATTTCTGCAGTCTATATACGGCAACAGTGTTATATTTGCTGCAGTGCTCAATATAACATTGCTGCAGGTGGTACACGGCAGTTTCTGTTTAGCTCCTCGGCACAACAGTTTATGTTTGTTGAGCAAAAATAACATTGTGAAATATAATAGTACTTCTTGCTTTTGGTGTACTTATTCATACTTAATTGAATTGTTCACACAGAATGTGCCGGGTGGAGACTTACAACTGGATCTCTTTAACAGACTCTTGATAGATTAATCATATCTTTTTAAAGTTGAGGTCAGGCGTGCACACTTCGATGAGTTTGATCCTTCCTATAATGTTATTGACATTTGTTTTGATGAGAAAACCATCTCGCAATTCAAGTAAACGAAATTGACATTTTTCTTGGTCCAGGTTTGATTACATACGTAATGTAATATACATTTGGCTTTAGTGAAACTTTTGTTACGAATAATAAACACGTTGGCTTTAAGATGCTAATAAAATGCTGTTTTGTCAAACCATTGGTTATAGACTGATGTGACTTTGGGACTTTCAACTGGGGGAAAATCATCACAGCATACCTTAGCATACCTTCTTTGTGGGCGATGCATCATCATGTGTAAAGGTATACATTCTCAAAGACTTTCTCAAGTATATTAACCTTTCTAAGTGAGATTTTATAGGAAGGAATGACATGTGTGAAAGTGTGAGTCTAAGTGCTCTCACTTACAACCACTATTTTGATTAATTTAGCAATGTTTTAAGTAATGAATGCTTTGGAGATGTATAAAAATAGTCCAAACTATTTTAATAGGGCGGTTTCCCAGATTGCCCAAAGTAATAAATCATCCTAAAATCTAGATCACAATGTTCGCACCAACTGTGGTACTCTTAATGTAACTTGCATTAATTTCTTGGTTTTGTATTACAGAATTTGATTGAAGATTTTGTGGAATCAAAGGACAATCAGTTTGAACACGGTCTGGAGATCATCACCGACTACACTGTACAAAAAAATGAAAAGGTTGAACATTGTGATAGAGACGATGATGAATCGAGCAAGAAAATGAAGACCATTAAAATAGAGAAAAGTTAAGAATAGAACTCCATAGAGTGAGCTTGAGAGAATTTATATTCTTTAGGTTTGGACATGTGTTAGACAGTTTATAATTTATGATTGTCGGATCCTTTGTTGTTTAATTTTAAAAATATTGGATTTTTTATGCATTTAGTTTTTTAAAGAAGATTTCATGTTTGAATAATTTATACTAAATGCAATATTCTTATCCTCATATAGTATACTTTGATCTATTATATGCTTTATAATATAATTTTTATAAAATTTATATTATTTTAACTTCTTTTCTGTTTAATTTATTTAAAAAAATAATGGGTGTGGGAGGCACTACTATTGATTTTTTGGTTTCTTTTCATTAAAAAAAGGAGTTGGGTTTCATAATATCAATTAGGAGCAAGACTTTTGAACATGTAAAATTACCCAAAAATAATCTTACGTATTTAGTTTTAATTTTAAAAAAAATAGTCTTTCTAAAAAGATAGTGTCTTTTTAATAATCTTTTCACTAATACTTATTTTTTGTTTTGTTTTCATTAAAAAAAGGAGTTGGATTACTAATATCAATTAGGCCCCTTGGTTGTTTTTTAAGAAACAACCATTCTTTGTTAAAAAATAGTGTCTTTTTAATAATCTTCTCACTATCTAAAATCAAGATTAGTATTTTAAATAAAATGTGACACTATGATTCATTATACCTTTACATATAGTATTTATGTTTTATCATTTCAACATCTCCCGTTATAAAAAATAATAAAAATGTTTAGTATATTTTATTTACATAATTCTACAATTATTTGAAAAAAAGGAGAAGTTATTCAATAAAAAGTAAGAATAAAGTGTTATACGTTTTCGCGACGTAAAATGTAAAATAATTAAGAAAGCAAAGTTATACATTTTGAGTATAATATTATGGAATAGTTTCTTACATTTATATTTTATTTTAATTTTGTTTATAAAAATATAAAATATTAACCGAGATACTAAATTCTATCTTATAATCATATTTTTATTTTTTAATAAAATGTCAAATAGTTTGCTGTCTACCAAATAAAAACTAATACCCCGGAGTAATATTTAATCAACTATGAGAATCACCAAGTATAATACACCAATATATAAAAACTTTTAAGAAAAATATGAAATAGTATGCCCTCTTGCTCAAAATTATTGTCACACTATAATTTTTTCTACAACCTATGCAATTCTTGGACAACAAAAAAAATCACAATAATGAGTTCAATTTTGAAAAATTATAGTCGTTGATAAAATAGAATTAAGACAATCAATTATACATTATAAATAATTACAATTTTTATTATGTCTAAAATCAAAATGTTACAAAATCTTATGAAAAAAACTTGAATGTGATAATATAATATGAGGAACGTGATTGAATTAAATTTTACTAATATATACGATCAAATACACATCTTAAATTTAATATTACCAAAATAAATAAATTCCATCAGGTGAGTTAAATACGATGCCATATCATAACATGCTCACTCTTAATAAACTTGACACATTCCAAAAAACTTTTGAATTATTTGGGACTAAACCAAATTTAATTTCCACTGGAAATTTCATTTCAAACCAAAAGAAACTAAAAGTTTATGAAAATTTTGCAGAATCCTAGAGATGGCAAGGCCTCATCTATTTTAAATACAACTATGTTTGTGTTATTTGTATACTAATGTAAAAAAAAGGATTCATATTAGAATGAAATTAATTTTGACAATCCAAAGAGTTTGATGACTCATTTAGTAAGATTTCATTACTAAGGATGGTGTATTCAATCTAGATTTTAAAAGATTTTATAATATTATTTAAAATTTGTACATTATGTAAAAACCATGGATTGTTTTAATTCTACATTGATTTAGATAGATTTTATTATATTTTATTGGCAAGATTTTAAAAGATTGTGTTAGATTGTTTAAAATCCAAATAATAATGTGGAACAAAAAAATTAACCGTGAAAAAGAAGGGAAGAAAAATAAAAAGCCAAAAATTGATCAAAAAAATAAGTTTAGTGTGAAAAAAAATTGAACTATCAGAAATAAATTGAACAAAGGGCAAAAAAAAAGGTCAAATCAAAATTGAACAAAAAAACAAAGAATTAAATTTTAAATGCTACATTAAGTATTAAAAATCATATCAAAATATATATTTTTATTCTTAAAATATTTTACATTGAATAAAAATTATAGGATCGATAATCACTTACGGTCAACTTTATGTTACAGTTTCACTCGTGAAAACTAAGAGAGGATTGAAAGTATTAGTTTTAGATGACAACGGTAACCCTTGCAATTGTACCAAAAATGTGGTTTACCCTGAAGTTTTCCAAAAAATTTGGATTTAATTGATACATTTGTACATTCTTTTCAATTTTTATATGCATAAATTATAGTTAGCATACTCTGTTTATGTTGTATCTAAAATTCTATATTATATCTACTTTTATTTTATAATTATTTACTTAAAATTAAAAATTAGCAGATTTAAAAATAACATGCATTCGACCCCGTGCGTTGCACGGGTTAAATACTAGTTAATAATATTATTAGGAACCAAGCCACAGGTGGAGAGCTACTAATTAGTACTCCGTAATTGTCAAGCTTCCTCTCCTCTCTTTTATATATCTTCAACGATTCTGAATATGTATTCTTTTTTTTTTTTTCCTTCTTTTCAATTCATTTTGGTTTGCCCTTTTGGGAGAATCCACCGCCGGGGGGGGGGATTGGGAAGGATATAAAAGGAAATCAAAAATAGGCCCCTTGATTAGCACATCACCTCTTCCGAAATCTAAATACATGGGTGGCTCGGAGGATGTATAAAGTGGCCAACTGTAAGGGGCCCCTAAAATATTTAAATGTGTAAATAGAATATCAAACTTATCAAAACAAAATCTTTTACTCTGTAAATTTTTTTCCTATGAGTTTTGACGCTATAAATGTTGGCATTTTTTGGCACTATAAATCATTTTAAAAATAAAAACATGAAGCTTTTATATATATATATTTTTTCGATGTTTTTCACACCTAAGGTTTATTCTCTAACTCATTTTTCATCAATAAATTAAGATTTTATCTTTTATGAAACAGTTACCGTAAAAGAAAAATTCATTTTGGATGTCACTATTTATGGCATGTCATTATTGGATCATGACATGTTATTGGCACATCCACTCCATGAAAAAATTACTCCCTCTGTCCCTAAATTGATTACTCCCTCCATCCCTTAAGATCTTCTCATTTTGACCTTTTGTGATTTTTAAGAAGAGTTGAAAAAAGGTGAAAGTTTACCATAATACTCTTAATGAAAATGGGTGGAGTGTATTAAATGAGGTGGGTGAGGTATAATAAATAAAGTGAGTGAGGGTAGTTGTGGTATTTTAATTATTAAAAAATGAAATGAGAAGATCTATTGTGAACAAAGAAAAAGGGCTATTGGGAAGATCTATGGGGAACGGAGGGAGTACAATTTTTTTTCTCTCCTCTCGATAACTTTTGTTTGTTTACGCGATTTCATTAAGTATTTGATAAAATAAAATATTCTTATCACCTCTTGTTTTGTAGAACTTTTGATGTAGTTTTTTAATATGTTATTTTTATACCTTATTGATATACCAATTTGTAAATAAAATAATTTCAAAAAGTAGGAAATTTTATTCTGTAACCCGCAATTTGTAATCAAATTGGGGACGGAGGGAGTATGACATAATCAATTTATGTCTTGTTTGACAATAGTATTTTCAATTAAAATTAACGTTTTGAAAAAAAATTAATGGTATATACTCTCTCTGTCCACAAATAAACTTTACTTTCACTATTCACAGGGTCAAACTTTATTCATTTTGTTGGCCTATTTTCATCACCCATTTGATAAAATAATATAGTTATGTCACCTCTAATTTTGTAGATCTTTTAAAATATGTAATTTTTATTTTTCAATTTTACACCATTTTTCATATAAAATATTTGAAAATAACTTCAGTCAAACATCGTAATGCACAATGTAAAGTTTATTTGTAGACAGAGGGAATATTACTTTTGAAAATTTTAAAACTAAATGCTACTGTCAGATACTCTTTTCAAAAGGAACCCATTATGTGTAGATTCCAAATATACGGAGAATTATCTTCTTAGGTAATTAAAATCATCAAATTGCATTTAAATCTAAAGCCTCCGCTAATTTACGAAAAGTAAAAAATTAATAGTTGAAATTTGTTTAGAAGGAGTTAAAATATTATGACTCAAATATTTTCTTAAATTGAAAAGTAAAGTAAAAAAATTTAGAACATCACAATTTACAACCGGAAAAATATAAACTATGTTTGGAAACGAGAGACAATTGTTTAATCATTTGTCCCCTTTATTTTTTACACGGTTAGGATAATTGGCTGAGCACAAAATTTAATACTCCTATATTTAAATAATTATGGAAATTAAAAATTAATAAGAATGAAACGGAGGATTACATATTGATAAAAAAATAAAAATGATACGGAGGATTACATATTGATAAAAAAAGTTTTATTATATCAAATATTTTCAAAATATTATTTTATCTAATATATAATACATGATTTATTTAACTATAGGTCAAAGATTGAAAACAATTGCTCGAAAAAAAGTTAAAATTAGAAAAATAATCTAGGACAGAGATAGTATATAATTTGACCATGTGAATACTTAAAAATATCTTATTTTTAGTCAGGAGAAACACAAAACTAGAGGTGTCACAACTATTTAGTTGTTTAAGCAAATTATCGATAAGAATATGTATTAAAAAAATATTAGTTTGACCCTACTGTAAAAAAAAATTCTAAAGGACAAACGAGTACATATACATATGGTCCAAATCTTTAGCTGGCAATTAGCCAAAGGGAGAATATTGTTTGTGGAAGGACTGGAAAAGCCAACATAACAAAAGGGCAATTTCGTCCGAATCAAAGCAGCACTTAAGTGCAGCTTCGTTCATCCTTTAAGAAAGACAAGTCTTCTATGGAGGGTAAAACGGGGAGTCTAATAATTAATTTCACAAACCTTCCATGGTTTTGTATTTCAGTAATTTCACTGCACGTCCTAATCCATCAATGGTTTCAACTTTCAATATGAGTAAAGATACGTAAATCTTATTGATTTTTTCCAAATTAAATATTAATGTGCTCATTTACATGTGAAAAAAAGGGAGTGTACTATGTTTTCAACAGCAAAAAAAACACATAGAAAGGTTATACTCACATTGAAATGACAGTACTAACCCTGCACTCCACCCTCCAAGGTGAACAATACTGTTACCCATCTGCAGAAATTCATGCCCTTTAAAACCAAACGGGTACCGAAAATCAAAACTCGGCATTGCCAGGCGTTCTAGGAAATGGTATTGCATCCCTTATATTATCCATCCCTGTAGCAAATTGCACAAGCCTCTCAAAGCCAAGCCCAAACCCGGCGTGAGGAACTGAGAGACACAAAAAAGGGGAGAAAAAAGTATGATTTTTCCCATCGAAACAAGATTTTGTGTTAACTGGTATTTGGCTTGGCATTGATATAGTTAAAAAAGCAGTCAATACCCAATTTAGTCCACTGACTATAGATACCAGTATATTACTCATTATGGTCCATTCTGCATGTTTAGATTTGATTACGAAGGGTAATTTTGTCCATAAAGGACAAAATTTGGTCCAAATTACATGGTTGAAGATCAAATTCTGAACCAAGTTTAGTGCACCCGTGAATCTACTCTTCTTATTCGGAGCCAAATGTGAATGAGAGTGTAATTGCATCCGAATTGAGTTAGCGAATAGTCTGGATTAAATTGGGTAATAGTTCTTAAAAAAGGTGTGGAAACTTCAAAACCTGAACCGTAACGGCGTAGATCAAGATACCACCAATAGCTTTCTTTATTCAGATTTAAGTCGTCTAAACGTTTCTCCAGGTACTCGAGACGCTCTTCTCTCTGGCTTCCACCCATAAGCTCACCCACCTGAAAGGAAGCGCAATGCAATAGAACAGATTACTCAGACTGATCACTAACACTATGTTTGGTTCAAGGAATTTGGTAGGAAAAGAAAAGAAAATGGTTTTCCCTCATTTTCCTCACCAAAATGGGAGGAATTTGGTTTTCCTTCCTCTTAGTACATTTTGCCTTCTCTTTTTCTTTTCCTTCCACTTTTCTTTTCTTTTCCTCTCTAACCAAACAAGAAAAATATTTTCCTTCTCATTTTCTTTTCTTTTCTCTCTCAAATTCCTTGAACCAAACATAGTGTAAGGACATCAAGGTGATTCCAGAAATGTGAGTGTTACAGTTTTTTTATGGCAATGTTTTTTTCATATAATCCAGGTTTAGGATTTCGCCCTACCCTATGTGTGGGGTAAAGTTTGTATACACACACCCTTCCAGACCCTACTGGAATAGAATTTTGTGGGATTTTACTGGGTTTGGGTTTTTTGTAGGGTTTTGCCCTACTATCCTTGAGAAAATGAGTCCCACCCCAAAACACTTCCAAACACAACATGATTTGATCTCAACAAATGTAATGCAGGGCATACCCGAGGAACCAGCATATCCATAGCCGCAACAGTCTTTCCATCATCATTCACGCGCATGTAAAATGCCTTGATGTCCTGCAGTTTTTTTTAAGGGAACCCCTTCAATAAATGGTTGTTTGGCAGCATTTTATATTGTTTTCAAAGGGATTTTATATTGTTTAATAGTGAATATCAGAATCATTGCCTTTGGATAATCTCTTATTATGACTGGACATCCACCAAACGCTTCCTCCGTGATATAACGTTCGTGCTCACTTTGCAAATCACACCCCCAATTAACCTACAAATGTCCAATACGTTAGTGCTCAAGAATATGACTCATATTGGCTAAACATAAATATCAAAACAACATAAGCTACTCTTATTAGGTTAAGACTCCGTTTGGCATTAGCTTTAGTGTTTAGCTTCAACGTTTTGAAAATGTTATCCAACGATAGCTTTTAGCATTAGCATTTTCAAATTTAACCAAATTGCTGATAGTCTGACGCTAATCACAAACGTTTTTCCAAACGAAGCCCAAACTAAGAGGATGAGGAAAAAGTGAGGGATGCTTACCGGGAACTCAAACTTCCTTTTTGCTTTGGAGAGTAGTTTGATTGCATCAGTGTAAGTCAATTGCACGAAATTTTTCTCAGTAACATCCTGTCGGCCACAGGATTATTAACAAAATCACTTGCAGCATTTGGAAATATATAATTGTTTGAGTATTAAAGGCTGATTGAAGACTACTAACTCATACACTTAATCTTTTAATGATCCCTTTCTCAATCCATGTGTTGAAGAACTCCATGTCTTCTTTGCAATTCTCCAAAATATATTGCACCTTTAATGAATATCACATTAGGATAGAGCCCCACACCAGAATATCAAAGTGAGATCGATGAGTTAATAAAACCTTGGATTGAAGAAAAGTATTGAAAAGTAAAAAGTAAGCAACTGAAAATTGTTTAGAGGAAAGGTAAAATTTGAGAGTTACACATTTCATTCTTTAATAGAAAAAAGGAAAAGTGTGAAGCTTATTTTGGAAACAAGGAAAAGGAAAGCATGCAGTTTGTTTTGGGATGGAGGGAGTAAATACTAGGAGTAATACATATGCAATCTTACAAATAATAAACAAAAAATAGGACAGGAAAAAGGTAAGAAGTCATCTTCTTTAATGAATACAGGAAAGAAGCCATAGATCTGAAAAAGTGACATACTACATACTGGAGATAGGCAGTTGCACATGACATGTCATCGTCTAAGTCAGCAAATGCAAGTTCTGGCTCAATCATCTTTCTTGTACAACAAAACAAAAGGATTAGCCATTTTATAATAACCTCCTAAGTGAAATATGACGATAAGTCATATACTGCCTTCCTCCCAAAAAAATAAGTCAGTTTATGTACAGGCTTACCCAAAATTCTGCCAAGTGTCTCGAAGTGTTAGAATTTTCTGCTCTAAATGTAGGACCAAATGTATAGACCTGTGCAAAAACCAAATTCCATGGAACGTCAAAATTAAAGAAAAGAAAACAATATTCCAACATATCCATATCAAAGAAATGGAATTTCAAAATTATTCCCTCTATCCCAAAGTATTCGTCCGGTTAGACTTTTTGCGGTCATACTAGATGAACTTTAATATTCAATTAAATAAATATTTTATTACATATCAATACAAAAAATTATTTCATATATTTGTCTTACAAATGTTATAACTCTATCCATGCATGTTAATACTCCCTTTGTCCAACTATTTTTCAGCCATGAGGGAGTGGCACGAAAATTAAGAAAAGATTATGTACTTGATATTGATGTTAAAAAGTAAGATTAAGAATGTGAATCACACAAATATGACCAAATATGGCGGGGGACGGACAAAAAAGGTAAAAAGGACAAAAATGGTGAGACAGAGAGAGTAGTGTTTTAAAATATTGATACGAGTATTCTAGTCTTACCATACTACTTTTACCTTGATTTTAGAAAAACAAATCCTTGCTTTCTTAGGATGTGCGCCATCAGCTAGACCAACAGTTGAAATAGGACGAGTATAAATAATTGTTGAAAAAGTTAAGGGAGTATACATCAGTAAGGGCAGTTGCATATGATTCAGCATTGAGTTGTCCAGAAACTGTTAAAAAGGCCGGCTTCCCAAAAAAATCCTGTAATGTATAAATGCAAAGCCATTTTACTAAATGCTTATTTATGGGTGAACGAATTAAAACTCACAATTCTTTACTTACTTGAGACCAGTCGACAGAACCTGATTTAGTTTTGGGGATTTCATTCACTGGGGAATTCATAGGTTCTTTGGAGCTAGGGATCTGTTATGTAAACAAAGCCCCGACATAATAATCAGAAAATGGATTGTTTGGAACATTGGAAATGCTAGGGAAAGAACATTTGAAGAAAAATGCTCCAAAAAACTATATAAGAGACTCTAAATAAATCTTTAAAATAAAAGATTTAAAAAGGTTCTGATCAAATTTAATTTTCCTTCATATTTTCAATGTGAAAAAACTGTTTTTCTTGAAGCAGTTCTTTTTTCCTTTCCTTGCAATTGTCTATTAGCCTAAAAGCATTTTAAAGAGAAAGACGAAATGCTAGGTTATGAAATTAAAAATAAAATATTGCTCAAGAGGGAAACTTTAGTAAATTGAAATTTTTTTCATACCAAGGTTGTCACACAAAACTGTTCACCTGCTCCTTCGCAATCAGAGGCAGTGACAATGGGACTTGAGACCCAAACAAAACCATTTTCTTGGAAAAACTTGTGTGTGGCATAGGCCAGAGCATTCCTCACTCTTGCAACCTAACAAATAATTTACATCGATAGAAAAACTTTGGCTGACATGTGAAGCGTATGTCGAATATAACCATGTGTGAAGTTATACAAATATAGCATGCACAAACATAAACACAACTATCACATCCAACCCCGTTTGGCGTGGCTAAATTGGCAGATAAATATTTATCTACTATCAAAAAGCACCAAACGGCCCTAGCATTTATACTGCCCTAAATTTAAAATATATTACATTTTAGGGAATTACACATCCAATCAGTCAATTCATCCAAATAAATCATCACACACTTCAATTCACCCATTAAGTCGACTGAGCAATAAACAAACAGTCCCTACTTTTTATTCCATGCAGCAAGAACAAACATTGTAGAGCCACAAACAATGCCTATGAACTTGAAACAGAGCAATAATGTAAATCATACCGCACCAAAAGTATTTGTTCTAGGGCGAAGATGTGCCTTGGTTCTCAAAAACTCATTGGTGGCTCGCTTCTTCTGAATGGGAAAGGAAGGATCGCTTTTACCAACCTGAAAATTATCTCTTTATTTAATCACAAGTAACTAAAAGAGCCCATGGCTACAAAACCATGGACCTTCGAGAAAGTAATGATGGATAATGCAGTGTAGCATCTAGAGGCCTACAACACCCAGTCCCAGATTAACCAATAATGTATATCGATTTATTGATGAATAAAGATGGATTCCAACACAATCTCTTCAATTTTATCTATAAGTAAATAAACTACATATGTAGGCATGTTTGGAACTTGGCAGTTCAACAAGCTTTTGGCTGATGTGACCAATTTTGGCTGGTTTGACGGTCAAAAAACTAAAATATATAGTTGGATGTTTAAGTTTGAAAAGCCAAAACTTTAAAAGCTGGGAGAGTGGCTATTCAGCTTGACTGTTAAAAAGATTGAGTATTTTACCAATTTTACCTTACATTATTATCATATATATGTGTGTGTGTGTGTATTTATTGACTTATTTATTACTCCGTATTACACTTTATTTGTTATTTATAGGTAATACTTCATCCATCATAAACTAATTGCAACAGTCTGAAATTCAACACTATTCACACACTATCATTTGATCATCTTTTGTGATCGAAACGTAAGTAAAAACGCTCTCATATGGGATCTTGGTGATTCATTTCAATAAAAGTAATTACAAAATCAATTTTTTTTGTTACTAAAATGTAATTGAAGATATGAATGATTTGATATGTATCTTGACAATCGTGAAAAAGAAAGGCTACAATTATTTTGAAATGGATCCATCTATTTACAAATAGCTAGCTTTACCGAACATTCTAAATAATCAGTCAAGCCAACACAACCAGTAACTCAAAATCGTTAAACCAATCCACCATTCAAATCAACTGACACAGATATACTTAATACTTTATCCGTGAGTATTGCATGAAATGCAAAAACTCAAGGAGGTGAAAGGGGTTTGGTTACCATCACAAGCTTCCCAACTTGCAGTTCTACTTTTTGTTTTGATCCTTGGCTGCGTACTAAGGTGCCTTGTATCCATAATGATGCTCCGGTTAAAACCATGCCATTCTCGACCTATTAAAGAATAATAATGCTTATGTTGAACAAATGAAAAAAAATGCAACCCTCCAACATAGTAGCAATAAAAATATAAATAGAAATAATAAAAAACAATCATTTCTTCGTTTTTATGAACAACAAAGAACCTGATGAGTGATGCCTGTAAGCTAAAAGCCCTATTTGCCAAACTAGCTATTAGCTTTTGTGTTCGTTGTTAAGGTAGTTTCTCTAAAAAGCTTGAAAAACAAGCCTATTTGTAAACCAAGCTCGAAAAATAACTGCTCCAAAAAGCTCGTAACAGCTACAAAAAGAAAATCATAATGACTTTTTGGGGCCAAAAAGTTCTGTACCTAACACTTTCTATAATTGTCCTTTAGCTGAAAAAGCTCTTTCTTCACACAAAGCTCTCTAAAAACTCGTCAAACACCCCAAAAGCTTATTCATAAGGTAAAGCCAAACAAACTTTGATTGAGAAAATTCTTAAGAGCTATTCTAAGATCACTCTACCCCCCAGTTCGGTTATCCATGGCCTTCCTAAAAACAACTCAGTGAACTCACTACCTTTCTTCCTATTCCAATTACGGAAGCAGGCTCTATGACATAATTCAAATAGGAAGAAGCACTGAACTACTCAATTTAGATTTCAAGTTCAGATTTGATCCAAAGTACGTGTTTAGGGTTCCAAAAAACTGGATTTTGATTTGGTCCAAATACCTTTAGTTTCCAACAAAGCTCGATTACAGATTCATACGCTCTTTTGTAAATTGAAATCCAAGAATTCCAATAAATTCCTAGTTTCCAGACACTACCTAGTCTATTTTTGTATATTTCTAATTCTATGATGTAACTTGGGTTCTCCGAAACCTATTGAGACAATGTTGAAGGAATGATCTTAAGAATATTTAAAGGGAAATGTTTCATCCACCGTAACTTCTACTATTTCTACTCTTGTAGGTGACAAAAGAATTGATATATTCAATTAAACCATGCACACAGCCAATATAATTCCTTCAACATCCATAGTGGTTATCATCTCATCTCCTGCATTATGAACCAAACGTAATGTAAAATATCCATAGTGGTTTCATCTCACCAACACTCCTATCTAATGTCGTATAATAATTGGTAAGATCCTGAAGTAAAAGTAATGTCTAATCACCTCCTTGCTGATCTTCTTAGGTCTATATCTACCCCTTCTCAAGCCCACTATAGCAAGACTCTCGCATCTGCTCACCTCTCTACACTTCTCATCCTTACCCAAACCACCACAGTAAATTTTGGAAATTCTCTAATACGGAGTAATAATATGCATGTCTATGGAATTCTATCTTTTGTCAAGGAAATTTTTTTTTGTCTGGATCAGCCAAGTCTACCTGATCATAACCCTCCGCATCCGAGCTCATAACGCATTGCAAATTCGAAAGGCATGACCCATCATTAACCTGCACAAGCAAAAAAAATAAAACAACACTTCACAAGTACTCCGTAGGAAAGTGGTGGGAACACCAAAGTTATAAACTTCCAGACCAACATTTCCAAACAAAAACAAAAACAATAATAACAATACCTCTATAAATGTAATGCTGCTCTGAATTCTCGAAGTTCGAACCCAGCCTCGAACCACCATAGTCTCACCCAATCGACCCAGACCCTCATCAGGGCCTCCTTTTATCTCGGCGATTCTCAATCTTTTCCTGAATTCCCCAATTCTCCTGCTCTTTTCGATTTCTTGAGCCCCAGAGTTGCCTGGTAAAGACCTATCGATGGCTTCGCTTGATGAAAAAGATGAGCAAACTACAGAGCAGAAGCTCCGGCGGAGGCAGAAGGGTTGTGATGGCTTGGAATAAGTAAGAGGTTTTGATAAGAAGCAGGTGTAGGTGCGACGTACGGTGGCGGGTTTGGTGGTCCTGCGGCAGAGAGAGAGGAGGCGGAGGGAAGCGGTGGCCGGTGACAGAGTCATGGCGGCGGCCATTAGACTGTAAGGCTGCGGCGAGTGTAAATTCACTACCACTAGCAGGGGGAAACGGCAAGGGAACTCCGAAGACAGTACTTGATTAAAATGCCGGTCCGACTCGGCCGAGTTTGGAGCCGGATTAAACTAAAAAAACCAAAGCAAAATAGGCCTAAAGAGGGTAGGAAGATTATGAAAAATAAAATTGTGTAGTTGAAAATTGTACAAAGAATAGAGAAATAATGAAGGTATTTTTTGTGCTAGTGGTTATTAGCTTATTGTTAATAAGTATTTTTAAACTTATAAGCTGCTTATAAATTAAATATTCTTTCATAAAAACAAAATGACTTTAATGATAATAAGTCATTTGCAAACATTCATAAATGGTAAAAGATACTTTTGTAAATAATTTGGTTAAAACGAAGAAATGAAAAAACTGACTTAAAAATAAGTAGTTAATACATACTTATTTTTTGTTGCTTATAAGCAGAAGGACACATAAACATGTCATCAGCTGACTTATAAGTTAAAAACTACTCATAAATAGTTTTAACCAACTTATAAGCACAGAAAAACATATGCAATAACTACCACAAAAACTTTTTCAAAAGCAAAACTTTTTTGTGAGATGAGTAAAAAAGATATTGTTGAACATTGTTACGAGACGGAAGGGGTACCACTCAAGCCGGCCACACATAGGCACGTGGATAGAGATAAACAAGGATCTGATTCAGAACAAAAATCATAATTCTAAATACTGGAACAAGATTGGAAACCGAAACTGGGAGGGCGAGCAATTTCAGTTCCCATATAGGATGGATTGGTATTGCTAGTTTTGATTTTATTTTTTTGTATGTTTTTATGAGCGTTCCTAAAGTAGAAAAGTGAAGGTGGTGGGTTTAGGACTGGCGTTGCCAACAAAATTATAGTCGTTTCGCATGGGGGTTGGGATGATGTTTTTTATATATAATTATCTTTCATACTTCGTTCAATCTCTCATAAACACACTCAATCATACTTACACTCGTATACGGAGTATTATTTAACGATTCTCATACTCTTAATTATTTATATTTTTTTATTCTCATATATAAGTCTTTATATAGTTCACGCTTAAAATAATAGATGGTGCACGAAAATCTCACAATATTAATAGCTTGGAAAATGCTTGAAGAAGAAGATTTGTCCACTTCTTACATCTCGCAAACTAGGGGTGGTGTTTTTGTCAAACCAAAACCACTTTAATTCAGATGGCTCAATGTTAGACAAATAGTTCCATAATTCCATGTCTAATTATGATGCATGTGAATCTCATACACATCAATATAATGAAAAAAATGACACTTCATGTGGAAGTGTCATTCTCAAACAAGAGCAATTGATTGTTGAATTGTTTGAAACACTTGTTTACCTATTTACTACCACAATTAGTTGAAGTAAAAAAAATAAGGAATGACAATTACACACAAAGCGCATTTCGTGGAAGCTACAACCAAAGGAAGCGGAAGTTCAAATGAATAGCACGTCGTCGCATCTTATTTTAGAATTTTGATTTTATATTATTATAATTTTGTAATTTATGTATGTACACTTATTTTTAAACCTTCATTCTCACTTCGTTCATCCTTTTTTCAAGTTTCAACTCTAATAATATTCTTTCTTGATCTGATTAATAAGTTTATAAATATCTTTTTTTGTATTACCGAATATAATCTATTTTTGTATTATATAATTTATCAATTCTACCCTAACAAGAACTAAAATCAGATCCAACAAGTACTATTTCCACATCTATTTGTGGACTATGGGTGGGCCTTGAACGCATTCAAAAAAACTTGAATCATACCAGAACTAGTTTAAACAAAATAAGGCTAAACTCCACCATTGGTCCTTCAACTTTATCAATTGTGCACGATTGGTCCTTCAAGTTTTAAAAGTCCATAAATAGTCCTTCAACTTTATTAGTTATGCACGATTGGTCCTTCAAGTTTTAAAAGTGCATAAATAGTCCTTCAAGTACACGTCAGCCCTCCAGATGAGATCCTTTTGACAGTAAATGTTAAAAACTAAATGGAATACTAGCTCCATATAATACGGAGTAGTCGTACCTAGTGGAATTTACTCGTATTATATGAAACTAGTATTTCGTTTAACTTTTAATATTTACGGTCAAAAGGACTTCATATGGAGGGCTGACGTGTACCTGAAGAACTACTTATGGACTTTTGAAACTTGAAGGACCAATGGTGCAGAACTCATAAAGTTGAAGGACTATTTATGGACTTTTGAAACTTGAAGGACCAATCGTGCACAACTGATAAAGTTGAAGGACCAATGATGGATTTTAGCCAACAAAATAATGTGTCAATATATAAGATGTTTTTATATACGAAGTAATGTTTATGATGAATACACTATCAAAAGAAACAATTAATATATGCAATATGTTTTGTGTGTGATATTGTTATTATTTTTATTTGAAAATAATTATTAATGGGAAATAAATACTAATAAACATATTTTTTTAATTTTATTGACTCTAGTACAATATAGTAGATGTTCATACATTTCAATCTAATGACACACAAAACGCTTTCGCCTCAACACTAATAAACGTGTGTTCATTTAAAAATAACTAATGGGCTTATGAGTTCTTGACTCCAAGTAGTAAATGTCGTTGGAGTTGTGACGCCCACATCCATGGCACCCAACCTCGGATCAAGTGAATCTAAAAAAGGTAGTCCCATCCCTAATAGCTTTCTCGGACCTATCTCGACGATCAATGAATTAGATTTTAATCGCAGATTGATGATAAAATAGGAGCTTAAACTTGGTACTTATAGAGCCTTATGCTTAACACAATTGCCTCCTAATGCAATTGCTAGGAATCGAACTCGAGTCTACCCCTTGACACTCCTTTCATTTGTCAACTATGCAACGCCCACCAAGTCCGGTCAAGTGAATTTATGTTAGAGCCATGACACCCAAGTCAATCCTAAGGTGGGAGGGCCGATGATGAAGGATATCCAAAAATAAGGGTATTTGTAACTTTTTATCCTTTACAATGATTTTTGTTATAAAAATAAAGTCGACAAACATCCGACATGCTTTGGTCATGGCATCTTCCCGTATTCTTGGTGTGTAGTGTCCATCCAAGCTTTCGCGATGGACATTTAGAGCATCTCTTCTTCGCATTTGTTGTAGAGTGTGTGTCCAATATGTTATGTGTATGATTATGAAATGAAGGGGTGAGGTTGGAATACATACCTTTTGTAGGGGCATTAAGTGTGTAGGTTGTATCCTTGTCTAGTCGTTGGGGACGACTGAAGAGGTCGCGACCTCACATGCTGGAGGTCGTCTAATTAGGGGATGACCGAGGCTTCATACATCAATGAAGGCAATCAACACCCTATGATCATGCCCAAGCCACACTTGACCCAACATAGTTAGACTAAGATGTATAAGGCCCAAGCCTACATAACAAGTCCCACTCCCCTAGTTGTGAAGAACCTGAAACAAAGGGGAGTACGGCAATGAGGGTGATCCATACAAAACCTCTTTTTTGGCTTATATGAAGGTCCATTGAAAAAAAATTCCTTATATGTAATTGATACCTAGCTACTTTGAAGGTCCATGGCTTAATTATATGAAGGTCCATAGAATCTCTCAATTTGTATCGAAACTGATACCTACTTTACGAATCATTCTGCTGTGATATTTCGAGATCGATATCGGATCGGTACAATATGAAAACTTATGGCAAATAAAAAAATTCAATGCATTATCGCTAAGAATTAAAATAACCATCTCAGAGTGTATCTTCCCCATTCCTATATAATGTACTTATGCTTTAGGCAATTTAGAGCATGCCGATATCAAGGTAGTAGTGTGGATCAAAACTCAAAACGTTAATTAAGATCAAAGGTAAAGTATGTCATCATGGGCAGAGTCCTTAAACCATAGATCCAAATGTACAGTGTTTGTTGTACATCCGTACGAACACTTATTTAGCATGTTTATTCATTTTAGTCCCTCCGTCCCACTATATTTGTCCACTTTCATTTTTGCACACCATCCAATGCACTTCTTTAATCCATTTTATCTTGTAATTTGTATATTAAAAAATTATAGAAATTATATATTAATAATCTATATGTTAAGACAAATCAAACAAGATCACACATGAATATATTTAGGCTTACACATTGAGAGAATTTGATGAGTCAAAGTGCTTAGATGAACAGTTCCAAAAGTCAAAAGTGGACAAACAAAGCGGGACGGAGGTAGTAATATTTATTCAAAACATGTAAGAAGTATACTTGTGGGGAAAACTATGGACGGAATAAGAAATATAAGTGTGAAGACCTAAATGTCACTTCCTATTTATGCATGTAGGACCACTGCCTAGGGGAGAAATCCTCTCCCTCCATCTAAAATTTATGATTTATGATGTTTAAATGAAATTATTTTCAATTAAAAAAATTGAAAGAAATGGAATGTACATAAAAATTTAAAAAATAAAATTTCCATTTTTTAAGAACTATATTAAAAACTCTATAAAAAAGTGATGACATGAACACTTTATTTTTAAAAAAATGATTGAAGTAAATACATACTAGTAGATAAGAAAAAAGATGTGGCTTGAAATTATAAATTATAAAAATAAAAATAAATACTATGAGATAGAGAAGGTAATGCACAAGTAGATATTTTATTTTGGGGGGTAAATTGCATGAATTAGATATTGTGTTTCTAGCAATAAGCTAAACATATACAACCAAACTAGATGTACAACAAATTATACCGTCCAAAATGTACACTAAACAAACATAACTCATTCTCCATATGTGATATAGATGCAGACAAATTTTATGGAGTATATGAATTGTATAAATACATCCCGCCTATGTCACATATGAGTAACGTATGTATGAGTTATGTTTGTTTAGTACTCCGTACCAATTTGATTAGAATACCCCTATTTTTTTTGAAGGAATATCCCAACCTAATGTTCATATAGATTTATTGAAATATATTCATTCCAAGAAAAATTATTTCTTTATACCAAATAGAATTTCTCTAATTTTAGATTTGATAAAAGAGTTAAAAGTATAGCCATAGGGCATAACAACATTGTAACCAACCAACCATTCCAAATACTCTCTAAATTATTTACTTCAATTGGATACAAAATCTTAGAAAAGAAGTGTCTAAATTTTACTCCTCCTTTCATCTCATAAAAAGATTAAAAATTTCTTTTTGTGTCCCTCACAAAAAATTCCATTTTTCATTTATGGAAAATTTTTACGACTCATATGATTTCTCTCTTCAACAAAACATTCAACAACACAACTTTATTTTATCTAATAGCAAGCTTATTCTATTGTGAAATCTTTTTATGGGACAGAAAATATTATTTGAATGAGACATTACACTAATACACTCCATACGAAGTATGAGCAAGTGAACCGCTCGTTTTCTTTAAAAGCAAGCATATGAATATGACCTCACCTCCCAATTTGTACACATGTTTACAAATGTAATGCTCAAAGCCATATTTGGTCCATTTTCTTGTATAGGTTTAGGGTGTGCTTAATGAGCAAACAAAATATGGGTTTTCATATCTCCAGATATCAATTTTTGTGTTTGATGAAGCCAAAAAAGATCAAATTCGATATCTCCAGATATTATAAATCTTTCAAATAGAGAATTTTGATACCTCTCAAATTTGAGGGGTATCAATATAGGGTTTTTTTAAAACAAATATAGGGGTTTAATATCTCTCAATCATTAATCATTTATCACCGGCTACTATTATCATCGCCAACCACCCCTGTTGCCGGTCATCCCTACTTATCACTAATTGAATCATGATTTTGAATCTCTCCAAACAACTTCGTTTAAGTTTTCAAAACTCATATCATTTCTTCTAGATTTTATAACACATATCTTATCATATCTCCAAAACTCACCAAACGAGCCTATAGAATCAAGAGATCCCGAGATTGGAATATGGATGACATGACTTTAGGACCATTGGGTCAACAGTCGCACACAAGCATGCGACCATTACTCCTTTGGGGCCTAAAACTATTGTCCTTTGACCAAAGAAAGCTACTCTTGGGCAACAAAAGGAATCGAACAAAGAGAATGAAGTTCATGGAGCCATACCAAAGAGGGGAGATGACGGAAGAGGGAATGAGCAATTCACGGGAAGAAACTAACCAAACACTAGTTATCGATTTGGGTTTTCTCGTTCTTGAGGACCATCTTGCCAATTGCACTCCATTCTCTTAATCCGTATAAAAGCATTATATAAAATTTAAAAAACACTCCATCTGTCCTGAAATGTTTTCCCGCTTACTTTTTACGATCATCCTAAACATTTCTCATGTTGTTTCAAGGAAAAGTTTGTCGTAAACAGTCTGTACTTATTAAAGGTAACGTCCCCCAAGACCCTACTCTACTCTTTTATTGGGTGTAATAGGTTTGGTTTTGGTAGTGTATGACAATGCTAGTAAAGTTGTCAAAGACACACGAAACAAGTAGTTTATTATGCAGCATTTTTCCTGCATTTGGAATATGTAGCAAAAGGGCAACACTTATAGTACTTGAAACTAAAACAGGTTAAATTGCTTCATACCAAGGTCAAAACATCACGATACCATCTTACAAATTTAAATAACCCCAAACAGAATTGAAACTACTCCATATGTTCTAATATTGTCCACGTCAATTGACCGGCAAAACAAGCCAAATTTCACAGGAAAAAAAGTGTTCACTTAACATCTTCTCAAGTTCAGAATGATATTATATAGATGTAAATTAAAAAAAACCACTTACCCATACTGGTAGTTTCTTCATTCTTGTGCCCCACCCTGGATCCTGAAATTTTCCGCAGTAATACTTTAAGCTAATGAAATCTACACAGAAAAAGTTTGGAAATACACATATACAAATGGAACAATACCATCCTATTCTACTCAGACGTGGAAACTCAGAAGACCCGTGTCCTGGTAAATCAGAGAATAAAGCAACTCACCAATTGAGGCGCCAACCTATGGTTTTCTTAGAATCGATCAAATGGTTTGCCATATTCATTGCGTCTCTGACAAAAATCATCATAGCTGTCATGGGGCCTTGATGGGGGATAACCGTCCATGGGATTTGGATACCTGGTCCTCGAATCTGCAGGCAAATTGGATACTGAATAGTGTGCATTTCCTGCAGAGCTTGAATACTCCGGATAGCCAGTTTGATTGTATGGATGACCAAATCCAGAAGTGTGCATATTTTGCTGGCTAGCCTGTTTCATCATTCTTTGGGCATCGACTTGAATCAACTCTTCCTTTTGCTTGACATATGACCCTCTAATGATAGCCAGATTCTTCAAGTAATTCTCCCTTATTTCTCTGACAGCCTAGGAATATGAATAATTTAAAAGAAGACAGTCAGGACAGGAAAAAAACATAAATGTTTAGCGTGTGTTTGGTTCACATTAGAACATGGGAGAAAGCAGAGGGGGGAAAGTGTGTTTTGAACCCCAGTATTACTTTGTTTAACTCTTTAACTTTGTAGGATGAGATGGGAATAAAGGTTAGCTTCAACTCTAAAATATTATCATCTCATACATCCAAACCAAACACACCCTTAAGAATCTATCCAAACAAACACACCCTTAAGAGCCTAACAATCTCAAAGCTCAAAGGCATGAGTTTTGAACAAAAAAAACATGAAGTGAGTAAATGAACAGAAATTTTATTTTAAAGATAAAGTCACCAAAAAAACATGCCTCACGATGCTTATGATTCTCTTCATCTTCTTCCTTGTCCCGAATTCTTCCAAGTTCATCTGCTTCTCTTTTATATGCCAACTCTATTTCTTCCAATGTCTGAAGAAAAGCTGGGTAGTGAACACCACGGCCAGAGTTCATGTCAGACACTCTTGGCTCACCATCCCATCCATCAGTAGCCCTGAAGGCTTCCCTGCTCTGACTACGACTATCACGAGAATTGTATGAGTTGGCTAAAGAAGACCTTCGACCTGGAGAACTTGACTGGCTTGAACGTCTTCTAACTCCATCATTACCATAAGCTACACCAAAGGAAAAAAGTGTTATAAACTTCTATTTAGGCCTCTTGAGTCACTTATATGATGGGGTAGCTTAAACACAAAATATCCTTTCTCATTGATCCCTCTAAAGAGTCTGGACATGCTGTGCCTGTCAGTTTAAAAACTGGCCTTTGGGTGAGGGTACCTTTCTAATATCAGACCACCATGAAAGTTACATCAGAATCGAACAGAATTCTTGGACAGAAGAACTTACCTCTTGCTGCAAAAAAGTACAGGCAACACGCACCATTATTTTATTAATATATCAAAACATAATTGAAGAAGTTTAAGGGAACAAGTACTCAAACAGAAAAAGGCATGTCATGTGTTAAAATCTCTTACATGTACAAACTAGACATGATGCTAACACATCAGTGTGAAAGTGCAATTATATCATCTTATTTTCCTACCTTGGGGAGAACCCCGGGAAACGTTTTGCAAATCATCATGAAACCGATCTCCAATGAGCTTCTCTTGCCTTGCGTGCCTGACATCAAACTGCGAGGCTCTATGTGGGCTATGATTAGATCTTTGCAAATCAGAGTGTACCAAACGAGAACTAACTGAACTCCTGCGCTCAGGGGGTGTCCTGGATCTAGAAACATTAGAGCTAGAAAAAGATTTTTTCCCACCCTCTTCTTTTACTTTGTGAACTGCATCCACACCTTTTTTCAAGATCAACCTGTCCTTCCCGCTGACAATGATAAATTTTTCCTCTATTTTAATCTTGCAACCAATATCTTTCTCAATCTGAGTCACCACTTTCTCAGTGAACAAGGCTTTCACATGATTTTCTCTAGCAGGCACTCTTTCAAAAAAATCTTGAGACTTCCGATTAGCTCCAAGAGTTGATGGACAGCCCTAAAAGTAGGCAGGCATAGATTTAAATAGCTTCGATAACTATAACTTTTTCATGTCAAAAGGTCGAGATTTTATTTCCAAATGCTAAACTGTAGGAATACCAAATGCAAAAAATCAAGAACTTCTTACTCCTTTGTGACAATATAGGTGTGCTTACATAGATATAATCATTATCATTGAAGTAAAACTCTGTAACAATAAACTTATAGGCAAGAGGTTTGAGGAAAAATCCACCAAATATCAAGTTTGTGATGACACACAAAAATTTAGGCTTCATACGGCATTCAATGGATTTATTAAGATCTCGGCACTGGAAACTTTGTTTAGAAAAACAGTATTTTTTTAAAAAAGAAGCCCTGAAAAAAGGTCATTAGATACATAGTTCTATGGAATGACAACATACATCTACTTGACTACTTCAACATGTATTGCCTACATAAAAGACCCAAATACAATAAGCACTCATACACGAGCAAATATTAGCTACCAGCACACATGTGAGCTGGTATTTTGAGGCATTCGTGCAAAACAGTGTAACAGAAAAAAATATCTAGAATAGAACTGATACCTGGGTAAAGTGTCCCGACTCTCCACATAGTTTGCAAATAAATTCTTCCTCCTTCCTTTTCTTCCAGTTTCTCTCAGTGGCTTTAGATTTAGCTTCCCATACCTTTGCTTCACGGCTAGTAAAATCAGTAGGAACAGCATTTGGGTCAGGTGCCTCATCTTCCTCATCAGAACCAGATTGCGGCCTTTTGTTCAATGATGTTTTTTCCTGCATCTTAGGTGCAGTAGAACCAAGAGGACCAGTATATTCCTTGTATATTTCACTAAAATCATCATCATTATCTGAATCCGGCCTACTGTCCATTTCAGAATTAAGCAAACACACCTTCAAAGCATGAATGAAGCTAATAAGCATAGAAATGTGATAATTTTCAAAAATTTAAAATTAGTCAAAAAATCGCCCACAATACATAGGTGAGGGAAAAAACATGAGATTCGTACACTATAAACCCTACAATGCATAGGTTAGGATTGGGGGGGGGGGGGGGNCATATGAACAATGGAGAATCTTTAATAAAAAAAACACACATTAAGAATCGAAGAACCGAACGACATACAACGAACCCTAAAAACTGAGCAATAGCTACCGTGAAAATCAATAATCTGAGAATCCGGGAAGGTGTAAACCTAAAAGGTCGCCTTTTGGTAGATTGGCGGTGGCACCGGAAGACCGACGCCGAATCCTCTTCAGTCTTCACTCGTTAAAGCCTTCCGTCAAGAGCTCGAGAGGAAATACCCCGTGAAGAGAAGTGATGTAGGAGGCGACTAGGGTTTCCAATAATTCATTTGAGTGGCACTAAAAAAATATGATCGCGAACGGAATACAGCGATTTTACTACGGAGTAACGGGAGTATTCGGGAGCACGTATATATGTTACCTAGAAATAGTTAATTAATACTCATTCTCGTACAAATATAAACGTTCATTTCGAAAAACGTAGTACTCATTCTGACAAAGGTAGTACTCATTTTAAAATAAAGAAGTACTCATTTTTACACATTTGTCTAATATAATTATAATAAATAGCGTAGTGTTCATTCTTAAAAAAACAATACTCATTCTCAAATAAAGAAAAGTTCATTCTGAAACAAAGTATTGTTCAATTTTTTCACAATTCAAAAGTTCAGTATCATCATCAACTTCTTCCTCTATTCAATTCGTTCCTACTCATTATACTCTCTGAGTATGGAGAATTTAAAACCCAAGTTTATTCTTGTTTGTATTGAATAACAATATGGTACTCGTTCTCAAATCTGCTGGTACTCATTGTCATATATAATAGTTATCATACATATGTTCTGGGCATTGGAAAAAAAGTTTGTAAAATTTACAAAAATACCAGGATGTACCTAAAGGAAGGTACAGCTGGATGTACCATATAATTTGCCAGTATTAGGGGGTGTATTAGGGGGTGTATGATACTAAGAGTCTAGAGGATTTTTTTATATTTTTTAAAATCTGAGTCTATTCAATTTGAATTTTCAAAAGTTTTAAAAATTTTGAGGTATTTAATAGTAATTTTCCAAAGTTCTTAAAAGTATTAAAGTATTTAACTTGGATTTTCAAAAGTCTTTAAAAATTTTGAAGTATTCAAGAGTCTATGAATTTTAATAGTCTATGAATTTTGTTGGATTTTCTCCCAAAAAAATGCTTACATTTTCACTCATGAAAATCTTTTCTCACAACCATAGATTTATATGGACTTCCATCCATTCGTCATCAAGCGTCCGTCCGTCCATCCATCCGTCCTCCAGCATCTGTTCGTCCGTCCTCCAGCTTCCGTGTGTCCCTCTGCCCCTTCGCAAGTTTTTCGTCCGCCCGTCCACGTGTGTCGCCCCGTCATCCACCGGCGTTGTTCGTTTCCTACTATGGTTGTACAGCATCACTGTTGGACTTTTGAACAGAATTGATGTTTGGATTCTACATATTTTTCAAACTCTACATGGATTCTACGAATTTTTCAAACTCTACATGGATTCTACAAAAAAAATCAACAAAGCTCCACCTGGATTCTACAGATTTTTCAAATCCACTAACTTTTTGAAATCTAATAAAATCTTAATTGAATACGCTCCCCTTAGACTATGTGTTTTGGCTGGCTTGATGGAGATTTGAAGGCGCATGATGGCCATGCAAATGCCTAGTAAGCGGTTGGTGTTAGAATTGAACACGGGTTTACGCCTACGTCGTACTAAACCGTGTTCGTTTTATGACATGTTTTGATAATGCCAAACCGCCGTGATAACAAGATTAAACTAAGCAAATCAAAGGCGAAGAAACATGGCGCGATGAATTGAGAACCAACAATCAAGAACCAAGAACGAAGACTTAGAAATTAGTTGAGTCGGTTTTAATGTGATCAAGACCAGCACAAACTTCTAAACTTGGCTCTCTAGGCTCGTTTCATTAAAATATTATTATGCATATTCAAAAATATTTTTCATAAGTTTTAAACAAGCCTAAAACACTTGGTGCTCGCTCAAACCAAAAACCAAGCCATCCGGCGTTTGGTTTTCAGAAACCGGCGTTCGGCATTCAGTTATCGGCGTTGGTTTTTGGCGTCTGAACCAACCAAGTGGTTTTTAATATTTTATGATTGATTTTCACTTCTGGGCACATTTAAATAGTTCTCCAACAAAAACACTTCAAAAACCACCTTTCGTTTTTGGTCGTTTAGTAAAAACCATGCGAAACAGCGTAAACTTGGCTACCCGTGGTTTTTATCTAAATGACGTGGTTTTCAAGATGTTTCACTTGATTTCTTAGCAAAATGCATTAAACAAATATTTTCAATACTTGGTTTTTATTTTGGAGAACTTAGATTTTTGACATCGGCTAACTGCATGACTAAACCAACCATGGGTCTGGCTAAACCAGCCCAACAGCGATGTTGGAGTGACCAACAGCGCTGTCTAACATGGGTAGCTGAAAACCATGGTTTGGCATTAAGTCTTCCAACAGCGATGTTGGTATATGGACATCGTTGTTGCGCCAAGGTTGGGTTTCTAGAAACACCTGGAACAGCGATGTAGACTTCCTTACATCGATGTCCAACCTAAGCCAAAAGAAATGCCCTTTGGTAGAAAGTTCTTGGACAGCGCTGTTGACCCAGCAACAGCGATGTCAGGCAATTTCTTCAACCTTCAAAGTCAGGCCTGAACAGCGATGTTCAAGTAATGAACATCGCTGTAGGCACCTGACCGTTGGAAAGAATTTATGGCTAAAACTTTCCATGTTTGGAAGTCAACAACTAAAACAGCGATGTAGGTGTTTCTGTGTAGTATTCCAACATTACCTCAACAACTTCCTTTCCCCCCTCAACTATGTGACCTTCTTTATTTTTAATGGTAAGAACCTCGTTCTGCATTCTTCTTGTAAAACCCCAACCCGCGTAACTAGAATACTCGGATTAGCGAATTGGGTTGCTACTAAATTAGTATCCAAACATGATGTGACTTTTAAAAACAAACCAAATAAACATTTCAAATCATATTTTGACATTCATCGAAGTAACATTCAAAAATAGTTGCGGAAGCTTTATTTATATTTCAAAACACAACTTGGGAATCATGCCCGAAATAGTAATAAGTTAT